GTGGGAAAGCTTTTTATGTTCTTCCTACAACATAAAAGTTTTATCCTTCCCTACCATCCCGCTATCCATTTTTTATCAAGAGCGCCACTCACCGTTTGATCTTAGATCCGACGTCTCAAAGTATTTTATTTTTAGTTTTTTTAATACAATTTTTTTTTAATATGAAATTTGGTACGTGTGATCTTCTCATTGGGGTGCACCTATAAAAAATATTAACAATAATTTTTTGATAAAATATAATAACCAAAATACCTTTTGAAACTTTTAAGGGTATTTTGGTTATTTTATTTTATTAAAAATATTTTTTTTATATTTGTCGTTAGTACGAGTTTAATAGAGAAATAAACTTCCAAAATTTGATGTCAAAACAATTTATAGAATAAAATTTAAAAATAAAACAATGTAAAGGCATGACATTGTGATTGAGGCAATCTTAACCCTCATTTCAGAAATGAACACTTGCATAAGGGGATGATAGAGCTTTTATGTTGTTGGGGGAACATAAAAAGCTTTTTATATATATATATATTAGTTTAATTGCTAGGTTTATAAAGTCGACTCATGAAATACGAGTCCTTAAAGATAAAATGGGTTTTAACCCATGCAAACTGTACATTTAGAAACACAATTTTAGGATCGTCAATTTTAAGTATTCACAAATTTACCAAATCTATGCTAGAATAAAATTGCAAGCAACTGTAAAGGTTTTCATCACCAAATTTGCGATGTCCAATGGGATTATGAGGTACGTATACACAAAATGAGAAAAGCTATGCCATTGAGGAAAAAACAAAAGGGTCCCCAACTTTTTGATCTTTGAAATGGAAGAAATTGGAGTGCTTTTTTTTTGTCAGATCTGACTCTTCCATATGGCAATGATTTTGTACCAAAAAATGGGGGGGGGGGGATATATATTTCAAGAAATGAACAATAACTCGAGTTCTACATCACCCGAGCAAGTACGAGTATACTCACCTGAGTACTATCCACCATCTTATGAACCCGAGGGATTACATGGGAACTCATCCAGGCCATAGGCTGAGGCCAAGTAAATATCCCAGCCTAATTCAACTACTTAAATTCCTACCACGCAATGTGCATATATGCAATGGTAAACTATACAAAATTAGAGAGAGAAAAATCATAGTGAATACCTATTTGACCATGGTTTGCAAATGATAGAGACAAACCAGAGCGCATGCATGTACCTAGCTAAAGAAAGAGGTATGTTTTTCCTTAATACACACAATGTACGTATAGATCAACATTGGGTTGGCGAAATCCAAATAATCATATTTGTTTCATATGAATATATTTTTTGAAAAATATTTTTACGTGAAATAATTCCCTCATGTAGATAAGAGTGGGAATATTTTCACATTAATAAATCTATGTGTGTCTTTTCACATCAATTGGCAACTAATTGTTGTGAGAATATTCCTACACTTAAGTATACAAGAGAAATTTTTTATATGAAAATATTTATTGGGAAATATTTTTTCACAAACCAAATGTGCTCTTAAAGAAAATTTGAGACGAATGTGGCATCGTCAAAATCCAAATAAATTATGCTAAAGAAATTTTAGGATAAACATGGCATTGTTAAATTCTAAAGAAACTGGAAAAGGTTTATATACTTCCCCTACAACATAAAAGATATATGCTTTCCTTACCATCCAGCTGTCCAATTTGATCAATAGAGTCACTCACCATTGATCTTAGATTCGACGTCTTAAAGTATTTTATTTATAGTTTTTTTTATACAAATTGTATGAATATGAAATTTGGTATGTGCCATCTTTTCATTGGAACGCAGCTATAAAAAATATTACAAATAAAATTTCAATAAAATATAATAACCAAAATAGCCCTTGAATATTTCTTTAGTACGAGTTTAATAGAGGATTGGACATCTAAAATTTGATATCAAAATAGTTTATAGAAAAAATTTAAAATAAAATAGTATAAAGATATGATATTATATTTAAGACAATCTTAACCTTTCAATTAGAATGGACGGTTGGATAAAGGGAAACGTATGAGTTTCATGCCGTACGGAAAACATAAAAAGCTGGGTCACATAATTATGCTGAAAATCTTATAGAATGAATATGTCATTGTTAAAATATATAAGGGTACAGGGCGTTAAAAAGTAAAAAATAAAGTGAAATGCGGAGAATGATGGTCCCTCAGGGGTAAAAGTGAAGAAAAGTGGTGTCTGACGTGTTTAAATTTTTCCGCTTAATTTTGTCCACGTTGTGGGTCCCGATCTGCCCACTCGACAGCCTTTTTTTGGCTGGGGCTGCTTTCCCCTCTCATTGGCCTCTTTTGACTCCTAAAATTAATTGGAGATAATTCATTCAAATTTCTTAGAATATTTGATACGTAATGGATTTTTACACTACTTTTCCTTCTTAAATCAATTTTTTATATATATTGTGGGGTGCATAATATAACAACATTATGCATTGGTAAAAGACGTCATTTGTTGTTTTCTCTTCTTTTTTTAAGAAAAAAATTGTTGGGATCTGCCTTAGCATTACAATATGACTATTTTTATTTTTAAAAAATATTGGATTTTGGGTCCTTGAAAGTTCTTACGAATTAAATGCTCTATATATAATTTAAGGATATTTAAAAATGTGTGGAATATATATATATATATATATAGAGGTTTGTCACTAGGTTGAAAAGGTTACAGCCTCAAAGGTCTTAAAAATACTCCCACAAAGAATTTTAGGAGTGAATGGTCGATATGTTCATGTATAAGCATATAAAAAGTTTGATTTGATATTTTCAACTTTTAATTGATGCTGTCATTTTGCCGCATAAAGCCTAAGAATATTTTATTTGACTTTGAATGCGGTCAATGGTAATGGTTCTAGCCGCCTTAATCCAAATCTAATAGCTAGGAGCAAGCGGGTGAGCCCATTCAGAATCGTCCGAGACGCCTTGGATGGGAAGAGTTATTGAACTCAAGTGATTCGACATGATAACCCTTGTTTATACAGAAAATTCGAAAGAATAAATAAATAAATAAATAAATAAAACTAAAAATAATAAAGCTTTTGAGCTTTTTATTGTTTAGGCGTTTTGGGATCGATTGTTGACCCTATGCAACAAAATCCCCTCCGAATCCAAAAGAGGGCAAACTTGAAAACTTGTTAGTTCGGTTCAGGTTTTTGCATCAAAACCTCATGTATTTTTAACCCCAAAAAACCATCCACCCTTCTTTAACTTGCTCTCTCAGTTGTAAGAAATAATCTCAAAATTGTCTTCAAATTGTTTGTATTTCATCCTTAGCAAAGCCCTAATTTTTTGATCAAATTAAACATTTGAAAAGGTCAATGCTCAAATTTATTGTGTTTTTTCAACATTGAACTTTGGATTTGAGGAGCGGCAATTTTCCAAATTTCATAATTTTTCATTGGCGATTTTGGTATAAAAGCTCCTATGATCGATTGAGACCATGTACATTACTTTTTCGATACTTATTTACATATTTATTTGAAAATTATGTTGCCATAAAAAGTGCAAAGTATTTATACATATGCGGTCCACAAAATGTAAAGCAGCCATCTTAAAGATGGATGCAAGTATGTGTTTCATCTAAAAACAATGGAAATTAATGGTCTAAATATTTTCTTACTATAATTAATATTGAGAAATGATCCTATAGGACCCTCTCCCATTTATGTGTATAACACCCCAAATAATCATAATTAATTTTGGCATGGATCTCTAAAAAAATCAAATCCCTCACCCATGCGATAACTTTTCTAGAGATCTGTGTAAAATTTAATGGTGATCATTTGGGGTTCTACACACATAGGAGGGTCCTATAGAATCATTACCCATTAGTATTTTAAATTTTTTATTTTATCATATTCATGCTCTCCATGTTTACATGTCCTTCAAAATTAAGTCTTAAAAACCATCAAATAAATAAATTTATTAAGAGGCCCGCATTTCTCCATATGCGTGCTTGGCCTCATAGAAATCGGGTCATTTATATATTTAACATTTGAAATTAATTTTCATGAGATGCTTAAAAATAGTTAAAAATAGGGGGTGGGAAATGGGTTGTGAACCAGTGGACCCTATGGGTTGACCCAACCTGGTTTGGTTTTAGATCTATTCATGGGCTC